ATTTATTATAATTTATAATAAAAAGGAGGCACTGTGGAGTAATGGATAGCCGCTCGGATTGAGGAATCAGAGCCAAGTTCGAATTCCAGTCGAATCCATTACATTCATTTACGTGCTAATACCCTTGGGAAAGGTATGAATCCTCTTCTTCTCTCTTGATTTATTTATTAACACAAACAAAACAATTTATTATAATTTATAATAAAAAAGGAGGCACTGTGGAGTAATGGATAGCCGCTCGGATTGAGGAATCAGAGAGCCAAGTTCGAATTCAGTCGAATCCATTACATTCACTTACGTGCTAATACCATTGGGAAAGGTATGAATCCTCTTCTTCTCTCCTGATTTATTTATTAACACAAACAAAACAATTTATTATAATTTATAATAAAAAGGAGGCACTGTGGAGCAAATGGATAGCCGCTCGGATTGAGGAATCAGAGAGCCAAGTTCGAATTCCAGTCGAATCCATTACATTCACTTACGTGCTAATACCCTTGGGAAAGGTATGAATCCTCTTCTTCTCTCTTGATTTATTTATTAACACAAACAAAAACAATTTATTATAATTTATAAAAAAAGGAGGCACTGGAGTAATGGATAGCCGCTCGGATTGAGGAATCAGAGAGCCGAGTTCGAATTCCAGTCGAATCCATTACATTCACTTACGTGCTAATACCCTTGGGAAAGGTATGAATCCTCTTCTTCTCTCTTGATTTATTTATTAACACAAACAAAACAATTTATTATAATTTATAATAAAAAGGAGGCACTGTGGAGTAATGGATAGCCGCTCGGATTGAGGAATCAGAGAGCCGAGTTCGTATTCCAGTCGAATCCATTACATTCATTTACGTGCTAATAACCTTGGGAAAGGTAGGAATCCTCTTCTTCTCCCCTGATTTATTTATTAACACAAGCAAAACAATTTATTATAATTTATAATAAAAAGGAGGCACTGTGGAGTAATGGATAGCCGCTCGGATTGAGGAATCAGAGAGCCAAGTTCGAATTCCAGTCGAATCCATTACATTCACTTACGTGCTAATACCCTTGAGAAAGGTATGAATCTCTTCTTCTCTCTTGATTTATTTATTAACACAAACAAAACAATTTATTATAATTTATAATAAAAGGAGGCACTGTGGAGTAATGGATAGCCGCTCGGATTGAGGAATCAGAGAGCCAAGTTCGAATTCCAGTCGAATCCATTACATTCACTTACGTGCTAATACCCTTGGGAAAGGTATGAATCCTCTTCTTCTCTCTTGATTTATTTATTAACACAAACAAAACAATTTATTATAATTTATAAAAAAAAGGAGGCACTGTGGAGTAATGGATAGCCGCTCGGATTGAGGAATCAGAGAGCCAAGTTCGAATTCCAGTCGAATCCATTACATTCACTTACGTGCTAATACCCTTGGGAAAGGTATGAATCCTCTTCTTCTCTCCTGATTTATTTATTAACACAAACAAAACAATTTATTATAATTTATAATAAAAAGGAGGCACTGTGGAGTAATGGATAGCCGCTCGGATTGAGGAATCAGAGAGCCAAGTTCGAATTCCAGTCGAATCCATTACATTCACTTACGTGCTAATACCCTTGGGAAAGGTATGAATCCTCTTCTTCTCTCTTGATTTATTTATTAACACAAACAAAACAATTTATTATAATTTATAATAAAAAGGAGGCACTGTGGAGTAATGGATAGCCGCTCGGATTGAGGAATCAGAGAGCCAAGTTCGAATTCCAGTCGAATCCATTAGATTCACTTACGTGCTAATACCATTGGGAAAGGTATGAATCCTCTTCTTCTCTCCTGATTTATTTATTAACACAAACAAAACAATTTATTATAATTTATAATAAAAGGAGGCACTGTGGAGTAATGGATAGCCGCTCGGATTGAGGAATCAGAGAGCCAAGTTCGAATTCCAGTCGAATCCATTACATTCACTTACGTGCTAATACCCTTGGGAAAGGTATGAATCCTCTTCTTCTCTCTTGATTTATTTATTAACACAAACAAAACAATTTATTATAATTTATAATAAAAAAGGAGGCACTGTGGAGTAATGGATAGCCGCTCGGATTGAGGAATCAGAGAGCCAAGTTCGAATTCAGTCGAATCCATTACATTCACTTACGTGCTAATACCCTTGGGAAAGGTATGAATCCTCTTCTTCTCTCTTGATTTATTTATTAACACAACCAAAACAATTTATTATAATTTATAATGAAAAGGAGGCACTGTGGAGTAATGGGTAGCCGCTCGGATTGAGGAATCAGAGAGCCAAGTTCGAATTCCAGTCGAATCCATTACATTCACTTACGTGTTAATACCATTGGGAAAGGTATGAATCCTCTTCTTCTCTCCTGATTTATTTATTAACACAAACAAAACAATTTATTATAATTTCTAATAAAAAGGAGGCACTTTGGAGTAATGGATAGCCGCTCGGATTGAGGAATCAGAGAGCCGAGTTCGAATTCCAGTCGAATCCATTACATTCACTTACGTGCTAATACCATTGGGAAAGGTATGAATCCTCTTCTTCTCTCCTGATTTATTTATTAACACAAACAAAAACAATTTATTATAATTTATAATAAAAAAGGAGGCACTGTGGAGTAATGGATAGCCGCTCGGATTGAGGAATCAGAGAGCCGAGTTCGAATTCCAGTCGAATCCATTACATTCACTTACGTGCTAATACCATTGGGAAAGGTATGAATCCTCTTCTTCTCTCCTGATTTATTTATTAACACAAACAAAACAATTTATTATAATTACTAATAAAAAGGAGGCACTGTGGAGTAATGGATAGCCGCTCGGATTGAGGAATCAGAGAGCCGAGTTCGAATTCCAGTCGAATCCATTACATTCACTTACGTGCTAATACCCTTGGGAAAGGTATGAATCCTCTTCTTCTCTCCTGATTTATTTATTAACACAAACAAAACAATTTATTATAATTTCTAATAAAAGGAGGCACTGTGGAGTAATGGATAGCCGCTCGGATTGAGGAATCAGAGAGCCGAGTTCGAATTCCAGTCGAATCCATTACATTCACTTACGTGCTAATACCCTTGGGAAAGGTATGAATCCTCTTCTTCTCTCCTGATTTATTTATTAACACAAACAAAACAATTTATTATAATTTAATAATAAAAGGAGGCACTGTGGAGTAATGGATAGCCGCTCGGGTGAGGAATCAGAGAGCCGAGTTCGAATTCAGTCGAATCCATTACATTCACTTACGTGTTAATACCATTGGGAAAGGTATGAATCCTCTTCTTCTCTCCTGATTTATTTATTAACACAAACAAAACAATTTATTATAATTTATAATAAAAAGGAGGCACTGTGGAGTAATGGATAGCCGCTCGGAGTGAGGAATCAGAGAGCCAAGTTCGAATTCCAGTCGAATCCATTACATTCACTTACGTGCTAATACCCTTGGGAAAGGTATGAATCCTCTTCTTCTCTCCTGATTTATTTATTAACACAAACAAAACAATTTATTATAATTTCTAATAAAAAGGAGGCACTGTGGAGTAATGGATAGCCGCTCGGAGTGAGGAATCAGAGAGCCGAGTTCGAATTCCAGTCGAATCCATTACATTCACTTACGTGCTAATACCCTTGGGAAAGGTATGAATCCTCTTCTTCTCTCCTGATTTATTTATTAACACAAACAAAACAATTTATTATAATTTATAATAAAAAGGAGGCACTGTGGTGTAATGGATAGCCGCTCGGATTGAGGAATCAGAGAGCCGAGTTCGAACTCAAGTCGAATCCATTACATTCACTTACGTGCTAATACCCTTGGGAAAGGTATGAATCCTCTTCTTCTCTCCTGATTTATTTATTAACACAAACAAAACAATTTATTATAATTTATAATGAAAAGAAGGCACTGTGGAGTAATGGATAGCCGTTCGGATTGAGGAATCAGAGAGCCGAGTTCGAATTCCAGTCGAATCCATTACGTGCTAATACCCTTGGGAAAGGTATGGATCCTCTTCTCCCACCAGCTATAGGTAAATAGCAGAACAGACCGGGTTTTATAATATTGGATGGCAACTGGTCTAATGCAGAAAGAAATGGCAACCTACTGAAGGAAAAAAATCTGCCTCATCAGTCATGTATCAAAAGATACATGATCGCCTAAGCATGTATCACACAGGCCACATAACTGACTGTAATTGCATGCATGAGTCCCAGTACAAATAAATAAATTTTAAATAATAATTATTGACCAATTTTATCATTGTGATATTTTTGCATTATATCAAGTATTAAGAATATAGTAACTAGGGTCTGCAAATTGGAGGAGAGAGTTATCAATGATAATGTTCTGAATTTGAATCAGCATTTATCTCCCTTTAATCCTTTCTCTGTTTTTTATTTTTAAATGTACTTTTTATCATATAAAATTTGTTAAGGTGCAAGCAAATTTTTATTCCAAAATGTCTGGTAACCATTGTGCTACAGCAAGGCACTGACAGATACTAAACAGAGTTACTGTCACCAGGTATGCATAGCAGCCATATAAAGCAGAACAAATTCTAAATGATGATCTTCCTTTGCATTTCAGGAATGAATAGCTTAATTACAGTCTTTGATTGTGGATGCGATGGTGAAGGAGCTTCAGTAGCTTTAGCCCTGCTCCAAGACACCCAGTTCCGCATCCGGGTGGCTACTGATTCTCTCTCTAGCCTGAATAACCAATTCCTGCAGAACTCACACCTGTTTGAACAGTATCAATTTAACTGGAGTGATCCAAGCTCAATTGAAAACTCTCTTCGTGATTCATATGGTTGTTTCCTGAAAACAAATACTGACTTTTCAAGAACAGACTGCATGGCAGAAGAAATCCATAAAGGAAAGTTGGTGGCCAACGCCTGCAAACGTACTGGTGTGGCACATGTAGTATTCAGCACACAGCTCAATACAAAGCAAGTCACAGGAATTGTGGTGAGGCACATGGTTGCAAAAGCAACTATTGAGGAATACATGAAGAATCTGGCGCTGCCTCTTACTTGTGTTATTGTTCCTGTATGCTATGAAGACTTCACCAAAAGTTACAAACCAATCAGGTCACCATCAACAGGGATTTATGAAAGTTGTGAGTATCACATTGTTAAAAACATCATCATTTTCATTACATGAATCATCGTCAAACAGTATTAATTTTTGACTATAGTTTCTTTCATCTTCATTTCAATTGCTTTATTTCCACTAGTAGTATTAGTAGCAGTAATATTATCTAGAATTTTATTATTATTTCTAGTATCCTTAAAGAAGTTACAAAGAGACAAAGGGGGTACTCAAGTGAAAGGAACAGCAACACAGGTGTAGATAAAAGAAAGAGAGGTTTATTGTAAAAGAGAATACACTACTGAAAGACAGGGAATCAGTTAGCAAGCTAGTAATTCCCAAAGCCAGTCCGCCAGGTATATCCTGTGCTTACTATATATATCTACTGATATAGTTAGTTCACATATGCGATATGGGAGTGTGGGACATTCCATTACAACATTATTAGATGAAGCCTTGTTAATTCTTATTCATTTTTCACTAGTATTTCTTTCATCTTCATTTTAATTGCTTCATTTCCTCTAATTGTATTAGATGAAACATTGTCAATTATTACTAATTTTTTAATCAAAAGAGAGAGTAATTTTTTAAATTTGTATTATATTCAAAGTATATAAAAATTTTGGAATCTTCTCCAGTAAATTTACATCTTAGACCATAAAATATAGTATGACATAGGATGTAGGTGATCATGTTTCTCCACAGCTTCTTTTCCTTTATTATCTGTGAACTGCTTTCTTCTTTTTTTTCCTCTTTTCTGATGACCGAACAAACCATAGAGGGGGCATGAGTGGTGATGGTGCAGCCAGCCACCACCAACCAAATCTGTTTTCTGTCTCACAAAACAGCGTCAGAGTGTCATTCTTTGATGTTGTCCATGCAGCTTTTGGACTGCCTCCTCCTATGCCTATCCCCTTCCAAGGTACCTTGGGTAGAGTATTGTGGCATATGACATGTCCAAGCCACAACTTTCCCCTCTTTACTGTTGCCAAGAGGGGATCCCAGGGGTTGGCCAGTTGTGTTACTTGGCCCTGTACAAAATCATTTGTCTTGTGTTCTCTTCTGGAGATCCCAAGACATCTGAAGCCTTTCGTTTCAAATGTTTAAACTGTCCTGGTTTCTGCTGTCAGAATCCAGCTTTCACATCAATAGAACAGCAAGGACACCACCAGGGACTTGTAGAGCTTCATCTTGGTTGGAAAGCTGATGTTTTTGCTCTTCCAAATCTTACTGAGTTTTGCCATTACCAATGTTGCCATAGCCAATCTGCTCTTGTTGCAGGGAGTCTATCTTTGGTGATGGTAACACCAAGGTATTTAAAAGTATCCACTTCTTCCAATTTTTCTTAAAGATCTGGGCCCTGATGTTGGTTGTGTTGTTGACCAGGACTTTACTCTTCTCAGTACTCACTTCCATTCCATACACTCCTGCTCTGTCTGTCAATCTGTTGGTGAGACATTGCAATTTGGAGTTGCTGCTACCAAGTCAATGTCATCAGTGGAGCATAAGTTGTTAATGATTCTCCCCCTATGGATATAGTGAACTGAAAGTCTTGGAGGCTTTCTTGCATGATGTTCTCAAGAAAGACATTGAAAAATGTTAGGGAAATCAAACAGCTCCCCACAACTTCCATTTCTTTAAATGTCCCTTTATGATGTTGATGATAAACTCTCCACAGCTTCCTTTTCTTTAAATTCCCTTTCAGGGCATAGGTGATCATAGTTTGTTGTAGATTCTGTTTCTTTATTATCTGAGAACTATCATTGCTGTTTGAAAAACAAAATAATGGACTATTTTCTCACTGCCTTCACCATAGGTTTAAATTTACTTCTTCTCCTAGACTGGTTGCTACCCAAAGCTCAAGATTACATTCTGTCCTGTTATTTAACTGATAGCTAGAGGGAGAAGATATCCTTTTCAAGGGCATTGTTTTGTTTTGTTTTTTTACAATAATGTTCACACTGTCCAAGGCCAAAGAGCCACTCGAGGTAGAGATTTACAGATTAAAGATAAGAGGCACAGTTTATAGGGATATGTGGTGAAGTAATTGTTAACCCTAGAATTGAAAAGATTATAATGATCGGGAAAGCATTCTCCTAGGAGTTTAATGAGGTAGCGGTACATGGAGACGAAGCTGTTTGAGTGGAATTTACATCTTACCAATGGAATATAAAGGTAGGTTGCTACAATGTGTGTCACAGGTTGGGTGGGTCTTTGCCATGAAGGTTAGAACTAGTGAAACTATAGAATGTAGTTCATGTAAACACTATTGTAAAAAAAGCAAATACAACTGACTAGTCCTGAATTTGAACCCTGCTCACTGGTTCTATTTTCTGTGTTAATAACCATTGCACTATTTGCTCATCCTCAAGAATAAGTTATTAAATACTATTATACAGTAAAGTGACTAATACAAAAGTTGGTCTACCACAAGGCCAACAAAATAGGATGCACTAATTAAGAATCAAGTACAGTACTAGGAGTTGATCAGTTCACACACCTCCCTGGTCTTTTCAATGTTGAGTAGAGTTTTATCCCTTGTTTCCTGTTTAGGATTGGGTTTCCAGTTGCTTCTAAAATGTACTTCAAATTTATGCTTCTAATATCTCTGCTTAAACTCTGTAATTTTATTTATTTATTTTTCCTCAACAGGAGTAGATTGGTTCACCTATTGTCCGGTTCACACTCCTCTCTGATAAAAAAGAGTAGAAGTTTTAATCTTGTTTCCTGTTTAGGATTGGGTTTCTGGTTCCTTCTAAAGTCTACTTCAACTCTATACTTCTAATGTTTCCACCTAAAGTATTTATTTTTCCTCAATAGGAATAGAAAGATTCAACTATCATCCAGTTCAGACTCCTCCCCATTCTTTTGAACAGAAGTAGAGGTTTATCCCTTATTTCCTTTTTAAAATTGGGTTTCTGGTTCCTTCTAAAATCTTTTCATTCTCTTTCACTTCCAGTAGCCCCTTGTCTTTCTTTTTGCAGTTGTCACCTTTCTTGAGATGAATTGATTAAAAAAAAATAACCAAAATTAGCTTACTAAGAACTCTATGACAGATTACAACTCGGTTCACAGGCATTTTGCTAGTAGACAAAACCAGATAAAAAAATGGAGTATTGCTGTCATATCTGGCTTTGTACTATCCAGGTTCTCATTTTCAAGTCTTGACAGAGTTCAAATGTGATTACCTGGCCTTATTGGCAATTATATCCACCCCTCTTTACAACCCCTTTCCAACACACAAAGCATTATTAGCCTTATTCTATATTGCTATTTTATTGCAAATGTTTAGATGAACTACCCGTGATAAAATAATCAGGAGTAATCTCCCTCGTTTTCTGATTACCTCCCTTTGGAGAACTCTTTCGTTTGTAGAGGACTATAAATAGACACTACATTGGTATCAATTATTCTAAGCAGAATAATGCTTCCTTAAGCCTACTCTTGCTCTCTTTCTTATTATATTACCTTCTTTAGTTCCACCAATTCAGACCTTCACATCTAGTACTTGTCATGACATGTATATGGCATCAACTCATCCTCATTCCCTTTGTAATCCTTCAGTTATTCCTCGGAATTGTCACTTAGTGGAACAGACTCCTAAGAGGATGCTTCCTTGACTATTACAATTTTAATCTCTTCAAGTCTAGGGTCAACTGTTATCTAACATACATATCCTGATAACAGTCACTACCTCTTATGACATTACAAAAATCTCATTCAGTAACTCTCAACCTTGAGTGGCTCTTACTGCATGAAAAGTAGTATAAAAAAAAAAGAAAAAAGATTCAACTTAGTTACTCTGAACCATCTTTGTTTTTAGTCATCCCAATGGGTCTAACCCCACTAGACATGATCAGCCGAGAGGATGTTGGGCATATTGTAGCCAAGATATTCCAAAAGAGGCCAAAAATGCTACATAAGATCATCAGTATGAGTGGAGACAAACTCACAATGAAGCAAGTTGCTGACTGTCTTACCAATTCTCTGCGTCCAATTGAATTCAAACACAAACAGGTCTGAAATTTATGTTGGAATTTTTTTTTAAAATGAAGAATTATCAGCAAACATGGACTTTTGTGCGCACAAAAAAACAAGGTATCCAAAGAATGTTTTTTTTCCCATGACACCACTTTTATTTTAACTACATTAACTACTATGGCAATGTTTATTGTTTTAAAAAGTGATGGTTAGAATTGTAATACAACCCAAACATATGATGAAAGTGAATTTATAAATTTTTTGTTCTTGAGAATTTACAACGAAAATATTAAACACCATTTATTTTTTTACTAAATTATTTATTTACAAGAATAATTTTATATTTACAACATTCTAAAAATTAATACAATTGTATTAAAACTAATGCAATATTTATCATTTACCAATTTATAAAGAAATAAATATGAAAACAATTTTTATCCATAAATTTATAAACATTGACTAAATTATTAAAATATTTGAACCAATTATAAGGAAATCCTTATTTACCATTTTATAAAGTTTGAATCAATTGGCAATTAGTTGATATTTTGCCAACCATTCCAATAATCTAATAGTGTAAATAGTGTATATTATTTTTATTGTAAATTCTCAAGAACAAAGAAAATATATAAATTTATTTTGATATGTTTAGGTTTTATTACAATTCTAACCATTTTTTTTCTCTTTTGCTAAAGAGTGAAGGTAGTTAAAATAAAAATCATGTCATGTGAAAAACTGTCCTTTTTGACACTTGGTTTTTTGCAGGCATAAAGGTTCATGTTTGCTGAATTATTATTTGAACCAGCAGGCTCATCTTGATTGTTATAGTCACAATGTTTCAGCTGTTGTACATACGGGACTTCTTCAAATGTCTGTTCTTTGTAACTTTGTTTGAATTTTAAGCTGTTCAATCCACAGTACAGAATGTTTTAATTCCGCCTTTCATACTAAGGGGAGACAACTCAGATTAATCAGGGGAGGTAACTCATATCGATTAATAAAATTCACTTGTCCCATTCATGTTTGTGTCACTTGGCTGTTTCTTCTACTAAACCAGAGTATGTGATTTTTTTTTAGCACTGCAGGTTCTAAAGAATGAACTCATTACTGCAAAGGAACCTGATATATTTTAATTCAGTAGACCATGTATAATAAATAATTCAGTTCAAAAAGATTATTTGGTTCAATTACAGACACTGGAAGCTCAGTGGGTAAAATGGTGGGAGTATAACAACCAAAATGAACATGCTGGTTTGGATAATTAAGTATAATAATTGAGTTTCAAATAGATGGAGTGGGTGGGATAAAAGGGCATGACTGGAATAATAGGTGACTGAAATTTAAATAAAAATTTGTACTAATTATTTTACAATTTTCAGTAATGAAATGCTTTGTTCTATGATACTTGCAGCTTAAATTAAAGGACGGAAAGAAATTTCATGAATATTTAAGAAAAATGGGGGTTGGAATAGGGACGTCTCAGGTGGGATTTTTCCTCAAAAATGATAATCATCTCAGTCTGTCTATTTGAAACTCAAAGATAATAAGTTTGAAATTTGTTTGTTATTTTCATTGAAAATATATTAGAATGTGCCGATCTATATTGCGCACACATACATACATGCATACATACACAAATACAGATCACATACAATGACAAGCATTCATTGATTAATAAATCACCACTATAATAGACAATTTACAAATCGCAGCAATGCGACAATTTTGTAATCGCTCTATTTTCATGTAGTCAATTTTGTGCACTTTGGGGAGAAATGAATCCCTGAAGCTTTCTTAAGTCTCCCCCAAAATTGCTCACTGATTGGTCAATGCTAATCATTCAGATCATCTGCACGTGAAGAATAATTCTTCCCGCGCAGCGGTCTAGAGCCTATAGTCACTTATATAAGCAAAATTTTTCTTAGCTAATTAGTGAGAATTCAGCTGCCAAACGAATCCACGACAGTTGAAACCATGCGCCAACCTTCTCACTTACACCACTAATCAGATGCTGAACATCCCTTATACACTCACATAATCATTTCTTACACAGAAAAATCTTCTGGGAACAATCATTATAAGAAACTCTCATAAACATTCTTCCAGTGAACTTTGGAATACTAAAAATACAGACAAAGAGAGACAACTCTCGTTTTATTCAACCTTTTCTTACTTAAATGCATGCTTACTTTCACATTGTTGTTTGATTATACATCTTGTTAAATTCATATTTTATGTGTAACGATGTCTTTTGCTTATTCTTTACCACATCAGTTTTGTTTCCTAATCTAAAGTTAAATTAATGTGGTGAAGTCTGCCACAAGAACATTTCCATTGGTGGATCTGTGGGTTATCCCACTTCGCTTTGCCAAAATGCTTGCTAGGGGATGCTCTTTAAGCTTATAAATAGGCAATCATATTCTGAGTCTTTCACTTTTTAGTTCTCTTGCTTCCAGATTTAGTCAATGTTAATAAAGAACACTGCCAACTAGGCACATTCACTTCCTTGGTCCTCTGTGGACTTTTGATCTTTCTCACACACACACTTGTCCATCACACATACTTGTTTGATATACACACACACACATAGTTTTAATGTTTTTTTTCTTTTATTACAATTGTGTATGCATGTAATTCCTTTTGTTAATAACATACATTGTCAGTTGTTTTATATGCATTGTTTGTGGTTCTTGTTTTCACCCTGACTCACATTGTGGGATAAATGCTCCAGGAACCTATAAATATTTACTATAAAATGTCTATATACATCACAACCAAAGCGGTGATTCCAAACCCCAACATAATGGTGACTTATTTCTACCCAAGCATTATAGTATTCCACTGCAGATCTGTGATGAAACTAATGAAGTTTAATGTTCAGGGTCCCTAATCCCAGAGCAACTATTTTTTAATGTGCAAATTTCTCAACAAAATCAATGTTTTTTTTAAGTGTTTGTTCTTGTTATATTCTGTGCTAATAGGAATATATACTTGAAAAACAAGGTGGATAAAATAAGTAAAGGTTTATTGTAAAAAACCAGTACAATAAGAATAAAGGTAACAGTTATGCACAAGGTTGTTAGAAGTCAATCCAGTAGTGAGAGCTACTATTGGAAGGCCGGTAGTTCTTGCGTAAGTCTGAGTTGTACTCAACAAATCCCAGCTAGTCTCTTTAGTACCTTACTTACAGCTACTTATAGGTAGTTACTACCTATAGTGTAGTCATTCATGGGGGTGACAGGTTATTCCATTACCCCCCCCCCCTGCTGAAATTTTCCTCTAGAAAATTTATCTTTCTAATACTTTCTCTTTTTTGGTTCTGGTCTTAACCACACTGTGGATTTTCTTTTCCTTGTACTCTTTTGAGACGAATAACATCTCGATCCTACGGGCAAATCTGGTGTAGGAGATGCATCCATGCATTCTGGTATGTTAGTGGGTGGTGTTATTTCAAACGTGTTGTACAGGACATCCATCGGAGTTTCTTCATCATCCTGTTGAACAATTTCAGGGTATCTTGGTTTTAACTGGTTTACGTGCCTTTTTCCTTTCACCGTATGGATATCTCTTCCAATTCTATTTGAAATAATTCTATCTTCCCAAAAACATTTTCCACCTCGGTAGTTTCTGAAGAAAACTTTATCAGGTGTATACTTCTTTGCACAGAAATTCTCTTTGTTATGCATTTACTTTTTAGGACAAGGCGACAATCTGTCGAATATTGATCTTATCTTTCTCACAGCATAAATTCAGCAGTTATTAAACTAAGGCCATTTTAGTAACAGAATCAGAAGCCAATGTGTTTAAGTAAATAATGTTAACCTTAGAATATTCTCTAATACCTATTTCAAATGGCCTCAAAATTTCCCTGGAATTGGGCAAATATTAAAATTTTCTTAAGGGCTTGCAGCATCCGAACACCCACGTGTTAAACTCACCAGAATCTATTCATAACATACATCTTGCCAGTTAGATTCTCAAATCTTTTATTGCTGGTTGTGAAGGGAACCTCATATCTGTTCAAGCTTCAGGGCTTCAAAAATGCAGGTCCACCACTGAACATTTCTCTCTATATATATATTTAAAAATAAAATAAAATAATAATAATTCACCCCCAAGCAAGGTGATAATGCTACTAAGATGCAAGGAGTTACTGGCAGTAAAAGAGAATGAAAAGACTTTAGAAGGAACTGGAAACCCAATCCTAAACAGGAAACAAGGGATAAACCTCTACTCCTGTTCAAAAGACAGACAATAATGCTACTAAGACGCAATGGGCTACTGGGAGTGAAAGAGAATGAGAAGACTTTTGAAGGAACTGAAACCAAATCTAAAACAGGAAACAAGAGATAAACCTCTACTTCTGTTCAATATATGGGGAAGGAGTGTAAATTGGGTCATAGCAAACCTTTCTAGTCTGATGGAAAATCAAATAAGTGATAGAAAAAATAAAAGAAAGAGACAATAAAAATAGTTAAGAGAAAAAATATAATAAAAAAAATTAAAAAATGTAATAAAATAAATAAAAAAAATAAATAAAAAAATAAATAAAATAAAAATAAGAGAAAAAATAAAATAAGTAAAAGAAAAATTAAAATAAAATAAGTAAAAGAAAAATTAAAAAAAAAAAAAAAATTAAAATAAAATAAAAAAGACAAAGATTATAAATCACTGAATATCAAAACAAACAGAATTTCTGCAAGTAATCAATAATTATTCAAGAGCAATAATTATTGTATCAGAAGTAATTTAAGTTCACAACTTTGATCAGAGGTCAACTCAGAGTTTTATGATTCCTCACCCATCAGAAATAAGAATGACTATTAATTACAGAATGTTTATTTTGTTATTTTATAAACACTTATTTATATACACAAAATTTTCAAATTTAAAATTTTCTACACATACAATTGTCAATCTTGTTCTCTATAACAACTGAAAACCTACATATTCATTTGTTTGTGTTTTATACAAATATATATCTAAAGAATTAATGAATTTAAATTTTTTTTAATCTGTTATTTTTCATGAAT